ATATCAATATTTTTTTAATGTAACTTGTCGTTATTGTTTTTTCTTATACAATTAAGAACTATATGATAAATAATTGGAAAAAAAATGGTAAAAAAGTATTATCCAATTCTTTATAAACATTAATATGTAAAATCATAAATTTTTTCATAATTTTTTAATTAAACTTTGAAAAAAACACTGACTAGTAATTTCCCTAAATAATTTTCGATGACAACAATCAACACAATCGAATGATTGTAGGCATTGTTGATGCATGCTAGCTGCCTTACTTTTTTTGTATATATAGGATAAATTATATAAATGGTCCCTGTAATTTACACTATATGTCAATTTAATTCTTATTATTTAATTTGCTCGATTTTGTCCATTGATTTAACGGATTATGTCATATTGGTCCAGTAAATAACGGCTGCTAGGTTTGGTGGACAGAAACTCAAACAATGTGTCAATTTGATCCTTGTAGTTTACACAATATGTTAATTTGGTCCTTATTGTTTTAATTTGCTCGATTTTGACAGAGATCAAATTGACACATCGTGTAAACTACAACGACCAAATTGACACATCGTTTGAGTTTTCGTTAGGGGTGCAACTTAGACGGGCTCAACCTAAGCAACCCGAGCCCAGTCTGAATTTTTTTAGGGCTTGGACAAAATATTTTCAAATTCGGTACGGGTTTGGGTAAAAATTCAGAAGCCTGAATTAAATTTGGACGGGCTTGGGTAAAGACCTCAAACAACCCGAGTAACCTAAAGCCCAAATTATACATATATAGATATATAAAAATATTAAATATACATATAAATTATTAGCCATTACATGATATTAAAGTAATTTATATTATTAAATCATATTGAATATATATTATATATACAAATAATATAAAATCTTACTCTTTTTCTTTTTATTTTCACTCATAAATTGTAAGGACTACTATAGTGGCATATCTCTTACATTACATAAATTATTTGTTTTGATGGTATTAATGATTTTCTATAAAAAAAAAAATGTAAATAGAGTCAATTTTTAATAATTTAATAATGTAGCAGCAAAAAAACAATTGTGAAAAAAAAAAAAAAAAAAAAATCACTTACAATTTGGGCAACTCGAGCAATTCGAGTTTAACTCGGGTCGGGCTTGGACAGATAATCACTACAACAAAAAAGGTCTTTGGTGACGAAAACGCATGACAAAAAAAAATTTCGTCTCCAAATATACATGTTTTAGAGATAAAAGTAAGATTTCATCTCCAATTATAGTATTTTTAGAGAGAAAAACCAAATTTCGTCACCAAATGCTTAAAATCAATAAAACAATTGGTGGCGAAAATTTTATTCATCTCTATATTTTATTTTTTGTCGCAAAACAAAATTCCCGCCCTTGGAAAATTTCGCAGGATATTTGGCGCCATTTTAGAGACGAAAATTTTCGTTACCATTGTACAAAATTTTCTGTGAGGAAATAATTTTGTCTCCTATAGTTTTACTATGCAAAACGACGTAGTTTCATGCTATAAGTGAGAAGCCCTCTTTGTTTGCCCAAATCAGTTCCTATTTTGCAAAGTCCTCTTTGGGTTAGGTATGAGTACTTGTTTAAATGGATTTTTCTGCCATCATTGCCACCACTCCAACACCACCACCATCTCTGCTACCACGGATCCATTATTTTCGTTACCATTGTACAAAATTTTCTGCGAGGAAATAATTTTGTCTCCTATAGTTTTACTATGCAAAACGACGTAGTTTCATGCTATAAGTGAGAAGCCCTCTTTGTTTGCCCAAATCAGTTCCTATTTTGCAAAGTCCTCTTTGGGTTAGGTATGAGTACTTGTTTAAATGGATTTTTCTGCCATCATTGCCACCACTCCAACACCACCACCATCTCTGCTACCACGGATCCATTACTACCGCCGCTATTGCTGCCATCACTCCACCACCACCTCTCCTTTACTTCCATCGCCACAACCGCCACTACTCCACAACCATTGTCACTCCACCACTACTATCACTACTACCACTACCTATCTTCCACCACCATCATCACTACTCTACCACTGTCGCCACTAACTCTCTATCACCAATACCGCCACTACCACCGCTGCCACTTTACCACCACCACCACTACTATTTCACCACCACTAGTACCACCACTGCCGCTACTCCACCACCGCTGCCCCTGCCACTACATCACCACCACTACCACCATCAAATCTGTACTACTTCCACCACCACCACTGCCCCACCACTACCATTACCACCGCCGCCGCCGCTACCATTTTTCTTCCACCACTACTGCTTTTACTTTACCACTACTGTAACGCCCTCAAAATAAACCCATTATATATATCATTGACATGCAATATTTAAAGAAAACAATTCATTAATTCATTCATTAGAGTATTACTAAATAAAGCATTACATGTAGCATCAAATTAAATGCCCTACGGGCTAACATCTTTCCAAGCCAACACTTGGACACAAAAATATGAGTTCTAACTCAAATACAAGTAAAGCCCTAGGCTTGAATGTTTACATGTACTATCAATAAAAAAAACAATTAACTAGTCTTCAAAATCCAAAAGCTAAATCCTCCCAAGCTAAGTCCTTGGAGGTAGCTTATCACCTGAACCTGAAAATGATGTTCCCATAAAGGGTGAGCCACAACCCAGTAGAAAAATACTAAACCAAATATAAGCATTGAATAAAGCTATAGCATTCAATAGATGGTTAACCAAGATAATCAATTTTATCATTAAACAGTCTCATGACACTAAAGTCTAAGACACATTTCACTTTCCATTAATATCAATATGGCTCAGAACCTGGCCAAACTTACAACAGTGAAATGTCACTAAAAGCTCATTTTTTGAATTTTTGGGATGAATTTTTAATGACTATCCTCGTGACAACAGATTTTTGATCCCCAAATATTTTTTGCAACAAAATTTTCACTTAAAAAAAGAAAAAGTTTGGTTCATAAAATGTTATTTGTTGTAATGACCATTCCCACCCACCCTCGACACTACCTCCATCCCTATTACCATTGTCACTCTATTACCCACCTTCGGCACCCCCAACCTAACAACCTAATTGATCGAAATCCTAACTACTAAAACAACCCAAGCCCTTCCATCCTCATCAGTATCCCTGCATCTCCTCTCTTCCGTTGCTATAAATTGTGCAAGGTGCATGTAAAATATGTGCACATAAACCCTAAACCCTGCAACAAAGGGAGAAAAGAGGTGTGGGGTAGCAATGGAGAGGGACTTCAGAGGTTTTTGTGGTCTAGTGGTCAATAAAGATGGATCCAAGATTCAAACTTTTGGAGGACAAAAACACAAATAACTTTTAATTGGAAAAAATTATTGTAAAAATTTAAATTCGATTTCTACCAATACAAAAAAGAGCATAATAACTGGATATTCTTTGTCAACATAATTGAGTATAAAAATATAATCAAGAAAACATAGAGACAAAGTTCCCGCTCGAGCGTTAAAACTTCCGCTCGAGCGTTAAAACTTCCGCTCGAGCGTTAAAACTTCCGCTCGAGCGTTAAAACTTCCGCTCGAGCGTTAAAACTTCCGCTCGAGCGTTAAAACTTCCGCTCGAGCGTTAAAACTTCCGCTCGAGCGTTAAAACTTCCGCTCGAGCGTTAAAACTTCCGCTCGAGCGTTAAAACTTCCGCTCGAGCGTTAAAACTTCCGCTCGAGCGTTAAAACTTCCGCTCGAGCGTTAAAACTTCCGCTCGAGCGTTAAAACTTCCGCTCGAGCGTTAAAACTTCCGCTCGAGCGTTAAAACTTCCGCTCGAGCGTTAAAACTTCCGCTCGAGCGTTAAAACTTCCGCTCGAGCGTTAAAACTTCCGCTCGAGCGTTAAAACTTCCGCTCGAGCGTTAAAACTTCCGCTCGAGCGTTAAAACTTCCGCTCGAGCGTTAAAACTTCCGCTCGAGCGTGAAGGCCAAAATCTGGGCATCACCTTTTGGTTTCAAAGTGCAACCAACCTGTTTCAAACCTGCCCATCACAACCTAAGACTCTAATACAAAGAGTAAAGGCTAGAAGTGATAATGATACAAAAACAAGTCCACGGAACCAAGTCCAGAATACAGTATACAAAGGAAGGAAAAACCGGGATCGCTATAACTACCGTTGCCGCCACTTCACTTCCACCGTCGCCGCTCCACTACCACCACCACTAGCACTCCACCTCCACCAAACCCATTTAAGCCCCTTTATTAAATAGGTGAGTTTGAATCAGTTTCATTTGGTTTCAATTTTCAAAAACTATTTTTCAAGTTTCAATCCTTATTTTGTTAATTTTGAGTGAATTTTTTAAATATTTTAATTATTTTTTTAATTGATTAAAATATTGAAAAATTCCAGTTACTATTTTTTTTAGTCGGGATATATTGATTATTGGCCACTAAAAAAAATTTAATGGCTAAAAATTTTTAGTCACCAAAAAAGGAGTTTTGGCAACTAAAATTATTTAGTCATCGAATAAAAAATAAAAATTTACTTTTTATCTTTGGCGATCAAAAGTTTAGTCGTTAAAAATTTATTTTCAGCTATTAAAAAATTTATAGTCGCAAAAAAATGAGTTTTGACCACTAAAATTATTTAGTCGCCAAATTAAATTTTTTTTTTCATTGTCAAAAAATAATTTTCAGTTATTAAAAAAATTTTAATTGCCAAAATATTTAGGGGATAAAATCGTTTGACCCTTTCTTTCTCTATTTTCTCAACCCCTCTCCTTCTTTCTCTCCATTTATATTTTTTAGGGTTTCATTCTACTTCTCAATTGAAAATCTAGAGGAATCGAGCCCCCTTACTCTAATGCTGTGTTTGGTTGGGGGATTTAGAGAGGGATTTGGAAAGGGAAAGGGAAAAGGTGTGTGAAACTAGGTGAAATTTAGGCATGTTTTCTTCATATTTCACCTACCTTTTCCATTTCCCTTTCCAAATCCCTCCTCAAATCCTCCAACCAAACACAACATAAGGCACTCAGCGTAGACGATGATGAGAAGAGAGCCACCAAGCCAATCGCAGCTCATCCTCCTCCTCCTATGCCTGCTGCGGCGGCGGAAAAGCATTCTCCGCCGGCAGCTTCCGACAACCCCTATTGGACCACCGACGGATTGCCGCTAGGGCACGACAGCGTCATGGGCGAACCTCTGCGTCGAGCTCAGTGGGACTCCAGCCTCTTCGCTTGTCTCGGTCGCACTGATGAGTTCTGCAGCAGCGATCTTGAAGTTTGTAAGTTAAAATTTTAAGTTTTGTGAGTTTGATGCTCAATGTTGATGGGTTTTCCTATTTAATTTTCCCAATTTGATCGCTAATTGTTAATTTTTCCCATTGTGAAATTGGCTAATGAAGTCGAATATTACATATATATGTTTGTATTGGTATGTTTAAGCGTGTGTAAATGCATTGACTGTTAACGGATAGAGAGGGAAATTGATTGGCTGGTGAATTATTTATTTATTTATTGTTAAATAATTATGGAGTCTGATGTAATTGGACCTGGTGATATCATTCTGTGTGATGATTGCTATGATTGTTGTGGGATATATGATTGCAGATTCAGATCTGAAATATTTATGATACATCAATTGATTATTATCACCATTAGTTGTAGCTGAATTTATGATGAAAGAGAAAATGCGTGGTGCGTGAAAGAGCATCAAATTTTCGTGCTTTTTTGTACATGGCAATTTTTTTGACAGTAGTCATGCTAATTGAGGAGTCTAATTTCTCCATATATATATATATATATATATGTATCATATTTGATCATAGTGATTATTTGCAACCATGGTTAGTGTGACCCAAGTCCCCAACTTAATCAGATTTTCTCTACTTTGATATGTTATTGAGTGAAAACTTCTTGCTTCTGATAGCAATGAATCTACCCTAGTCCCCAAACTTCTTGCTGTTGACCTTCCCCTGAATTGAGTTTGTTCATCAGCAGTATATCTATGTTTTCCTGATGGAGATTAGCTATTAGGAAGTTATCCAAATATTTTAGTTTATTTGCCATATCTTGCTGTCCTTGTATACTTTTCCAACTTAAATTTGTCCATATTTTTTTGCTCGAGTCTCCTTTAGGTTTTTGGTTCCTTATTGTAATATTTAGATGGGTTCTTTAAGGATCTGTCAGTTATAGGGATTTAGATGGGAGTCATTATGCAGTTTGTAATAGGCGTCCTTCACTCTTAAGTCCTATATATGCAGTTATAACATTTTTTTTGTGGCTATCCTCCTAAAATAGTGAAGAAAATGCCTAAGAAGGATCTTGTGGAGGAGGTGATCATATATCTCATAGTATCCCTTTCCATTTTATATCTATTAAGTATGGTAGTACTGTCTACGAACGAGTCTTTGGGACTACTAAGGTTGACTAAGATGCATATGTAACTTTTGGGTGGCTATGTAAGTTTTATTTAATTCCTCTTTATAGCATATATTCATTGCACTTCTCTTTATTTAATTCCTCTGATTCGTTGACTATTACCTTTTCAAAGCAGATATTCACTTACAACTTTGTGAGGCAGATATTCACTTACAACTTTGTGAGTCTACTTATTGAATTTCATTCATTGATGAATTCCATGAAGAAAACTTTTAACATTATGGAGTTTTTATTTATTATCCTTTCACGTATTTAAAAATAAATAAATTCTAAGAATTTTTTTTCCCTGAGCTTACATCATACTTTTTTTGATTTGTACTCTTAACTTTTAACGTTTTACTTGTTTTAAGTCATTATTTTCTTGGTTTTCGTTATAATTTTTTTTTTGGGTCTCCCAAATGATCAAGTCTCTCTGTTCATTACAATTATTGTATTAGACAATGCTCGAGTTTGATTGTATTTCTTTCCTGTTTTGCACTTGATTCTCTTGTATGTCAGGTTTGGAGACTTCAAGCAGCTCTTGGTGAGCAAATAGAAATCACAAAATTTAGCCAGTAGGGGTATGAAAGACTTCAAAATGTAATATTCTTAAGTTTATGGCTTTAGTATTTTTTTCCCATTCAATATAAATCTGTTATAGGACTTTATACTAATTTTATACTAATCAAATTACATGCTTTACTGTTCCACATTATTTTTTTATTACACCTTGTGCTTATTAGATGTTCAAATACAGTTTTTCAACAATTAAGTTCATAAGAAATTTACATATTTTGATGTGCATGGTATATGTACTTGTGTCAAACCGAGTTAGTCATTAAACAATTGCACTTACATGAATCCCCTAAATTCTTTGTATTGATTGCATATCAATTTATTTGAATCGTGACACTCCAAAGTTTCTAACGCTTAGTCATTAAACAGTTGCACTTACACGAATCCCTAAAAAAATGAACATTTCTAACACTTAAGCTTGAAAATAGGCCATCGGAGGCCAAAATCGTGTAACAGCCACGAGACGGCCTGGGTAACACCTCAAACACCTTGGGAGAGACCAAATTAAGTTGTGGAAAATTACGCAACTAGCACGGGACTCCTGGTTTAAAAACTAAGTAAAAAAATGAACTTTTGTAATGCTTAAGCTTCAAACTAGGCCATCGGGGGCCAAAATCGTGCAACAGCCACGAGACGGCCCAGGGAACACATCAAACACCTCGGGAGGGACAAATGTGAGTTGTGGAAACTTACGGAACTAGCACAAGACTCCCAATTTGAAAACTAAGTCAAAAAATGCACTTTTTCACACTTAAGCTTGAAAATAGGCCATCGGAAGCCAAAATCGTGCAATAGCCACGAGACGGCCCGGGGAACACGTCAAACACCTCGGGAGAGACTAATGTGAGTTGTGAAAACTTACGAAACTAGCACGGGACTCCTAGTTTGAAAACTAAGTCCAAAAATACACTTTTTCACACTTAAGCTTGAAAATAGGCCATCGGAGGCCAAAATTGTGCAACAGCCATGAGACGGCCCAAGAAACACCTCAAACACCTCGGGAGTGACCAATGTGAGTTTTGGAAACTTACAAAACTAGCACGGGACTCCCGCTTTGAAAACTAAGTCCAGAAATGCACTTTTTCACACTTAAGCTTGAAAATAGACCTTCGGGGGCCAAAATCGTGCAATCGCCACGAGACGGCCTGGGAAACACCTCAAACACCTCGGGAGAGACCAATGTGAGTTGTGAAAACTTATGGAACTTGCACGAGACTCCCGGTTTGAAAACTAAGTCAAAAAATGAACTTTTGTAACGCTCAAGCTTGAAACTAGGCCATCGGAGGCCAAAATCATGCAACAGGCATGAGACGGCCCGGGGGACAAGTCAAAAACCTCGGGAGGGACCAATGTGAGTTGTGAAAACTTACAGAACTAGCACGGGACTCCCGGTTTGAAAACTAAGTACAGATATGCACTTTTTTACACTTAAGCTTGAAAATAGCCCTTCGGGGGCCAAAAACGTGCATCAGGCACGGGATGGCCTGGGGAACACCTCAAACACCTCGAGAGGGACCAATGTGAGTTGTGGAAACTTACGGAACTAGCACGGGACTCCCAGTTTGAAAACTAAGTTAAAAAATGCACTTTTTTACACTTAAGCTTGAAAATAGGCCATCGGAGGCCAAAATCGTGCAACAGCCACAAGACGGCCCAGGGAACACCTCAAACACCTCGGGAGGGACCAATGTGAGTTATGGAAACTTACGAAACTAGCACGGGACTCCCGGTTTAAAAACTAAGTCCAGAAATGCACTTTTTCACACTTAAACTTGAAAATAGACCTTTGGGGGCCAAAATCGTGCAACAGGCACGGGACGGCCTGGGAAACACCTCAAACACCTCGGGAGTGACCAATGTGAGTTGTGAAAACTTACGGAACTAGCATGGGACTCTCGGTTTGAAAACTAAGTCCAAAAATACACTTTTTCACACTTAAGCTTGAAAATAGGCCATCGGAGGCCAAAATCGTGCAACAGCCACGAGACGGCTCGGGAAACATCTCAAACACCTCGGGAGGGACCAATGTGAGTTGTGAAAACATACGGAACTAGCACTGGACTCCCAGTTTGAAAACTAAGTCGAATAATGACCTTTTTCACACTTAAGCTCGAAAATAGGCTATCGGAGGCCAAAATCGTACAACAGCCACGAGACGGCCTGGGGAACACCTCAAACACCTTGGGAGGGACCAATATGAGTTGTGAAAACTTACGGAACTAACACGGGACTTCCGGTTTGAAAACTAAGTCCAGAGATACACTTTTTCACACTTAATCTTGAAAATAGACCTTCGGGGGCCAAAATCATGCATCAGGCACGGGACGGCCCGGGGAACACCTCAAACACCTTGCGAGGGACCCATGTGAGTTTTGGAAACTTATGGAACTAGCACGGGACTCCCAGTTTGAAAACTAAGTCAAAAAATGAACTTTTTCACACTTAAGCTTGAAAATAGGCCAAAATCGTGCATCAGGCATGAGACGGCCTGGGGAACACCTCAAATACCTCTGGAGGGACCAATGTGAGTTGTGGAAACTTACGGAACTAGCATGGGACTCGCAGTTTGAAAACTAAGTCAAAAAATGAACTTTTGTAACTCCTAAGCTTGAAACTAGGCCATCGGGGGCTAAAATCGTGCAACAGCCACAAGACAGCCCGGGAAACACCTCAAACACCTCGGGAGGGACCAATGTGAGTTGTGAAAACTTATGAAACTAGCACGGGACTCCCGGTTTGGAAAGTAAGTCGAAAATTGCACTTTTTCACACTTAAGCTTCAAACTAGGCCATCGAGGGCCAAAATCGTGCAACAGCCATGAGACGGCCTGGGGAACATGTCAAATACCTCGGGAGGGACAAATGTGAGTTGTGCAAACTTACGGAACTAGCACGGGACTCTCAGTTTGAAAACTAAGTCGAAAAATGCACTTTTTCACACTTAAGCTTGAAAATAGGCCATCGGAGGCCAAAATCGTGCAACAGTGACGAGATGGCCCGGGGAACACGTCAAACACCTCGAGAGGGACCAATGTGAATTGTGGAAACTTACGGAACTAGTACGGGACTCCCAGTTTGAAAACTAAGTCCAAAAATGCACTTTTTAACACTTAAGCTTGAAAATAGGCCATCAGAGGCCAAAATCGTGCAACAGTCACGACACAGCCTGGGAAACACCTTAAACACCTCGGGAGGGACCAATGTGAGTTGTGGAAACTTACGGAACTAGAACGGGACTCTCGGTTTGAAAACTAAGTCCAAAATTGCACTTTTTCACACTTAAGCTTGAAAATAGACCTTCAAAACTAAGTCCAAAATTGCACTTTTTCACACTTAAGCTTGAAAATAGACCTTCGGGGGCCAAAATCGTGCAACAGCCACGGGACGGCCCTGGGAACACCTCAAACACGTCGGGAGGGACCAATGTAAGTTGTGAAAACTTACAGAATTTGCACCGGACTCCCGATTTGAAAACTAATTAAAAAAATGCATGTTAAATTGTATATTTTATGGATAAAATAATAATTGTCTAACTTGCAAATTTTTTTTTTTTGTTTCATTTTTTTGCAGATTCGAGATGTGATATGGACATGTTTGGTAATTTGGAGGGCAGATGGTAGCTCATTTTGTGTTTTTGTTCATATTACCTTACATGTATTTTGGCTGCGTTGTAAATTTTATATTATTGTTGGTATTACAAGGCATGTTGGGTAATCCGCCCTTGATATTTTATTTTTGTTGATATTAGTGGACATGTTTTGTTGTTGGATATTAGGAGATGTGTTTGGTAATCCGCATGCGGTTAATATGATATTTTTGTGGATATTAGTAGACGTTGTTTGTGGATATTAGGAGACATGTTTATAATTCACATGCAGTTCATATTGTATTTTTGTGGATAGTGTTGAAATTCGATTGTGATGTTTCTGAAAATGAACATATTTTTGTATTGATTTGTAATAGATATTTTATTGAACAGGTTATTAAAATGCGCAGAAAATTGTTATTGAAAAGAAAAATTTTTGGAAGAACATAGTATTCCTATTTTCAAATTTTTTAATTTTTATTAGTGACGAAATAAAAAATGTCGCTATTAGTTTTCAAAAACATGACGAATAATTTTGTCACTAATGATATAATACGAAACAAATAATTTCGTCATATTTACTGAATATTTCGTTGCTAAATTGAAATGTTTGGTGACAAAATGTTTTGTCATTGAAGAATTTTATTTTCTGGTCAATTTAATGACGCATTTTTTTGTCACCTTAATCCATTCCATTGGTGAGGAAAACTTTCGTCACTAAAATCTATTTGGTGACGAAATATCTTGTCGTGAAAAACAATTAAAATAAAACATTATTTAGTTTTGGCGACGAAATTGATGTTATAGGGGACGAAAAATTCAACATTCAGCGACGAAACTGTTTTTCGTCACCAGGTACTTTCAGCGATGACGTACAGGCCACGAACGTGGTGACAAATTTTTTTCGTCACAGATCACTTTAGTGACGAAAATTTGATGTTTGGAGACAAAATCAGTCTGTCACCAAAGGCCTTTTCTGTTGTAGTGAATCTCGGGTTACAATTCGGGCTTGGACAGGTCTTAGTACAACTTGAGCTGGGCTTGGACAACCTCTCAACCCGACCGAAACCGCCCGAGTTGCACACCTAGTTTTTGTCCACCAAACCTAACGTTGGTTATTTATTGGACCAATATAACACAATCCATTAAATTAAGGGTCAAAATCGAACAAATTAAAATAACATGGACCAAATTGACACATCATATAAATTACATGAACTATTTGCGTAATTTACCCATATATATACATATACATATATATATATGTATATATACATATATATATATATATATAAAGTAAATATTACATATGAATAATTTTTTATTTTTTATTATTATGAGTCTTATTAAGGTCTATTCTTGGGATTTGATCAAAACCTCCATCGTAATGAAATTTTAATATATTAAGGATAAGTACAAAAAGTTTTTTTTGAAAAGTCCAACAAATATTACTATTATCAAAATATTAAACTTTAAAATAATATAACTTTTGATATAGATGTCGATTTTTAATAAAATTAATATTTTTAGAATTCTCTCATTAAAATCTATCAAATAAGATTTATGTTGACTATGAAATTCTTTTTTTTTTTTTTTAAAATTATTACCGTTAAAATTGATGTAAATAGTAACAGTAACATGCTACTCTATTTGATAGTAATATGTTATTTTGTTTGACAGTAACACAGTAACATGTTACTCTGATAATATTATACAAGAAAAAAAAAATATTTTACTTTGTTCGTACTCAATTATGTATTTTCTCCTTAGGAGGTTTATGGAAAAAAAAAAAAAATTTGGATATATGTTTTACCAAATAATGATCCAATTGAGGAGTTTTGACTAATTCTCCTATAAGTAAAATGAATGCTTAAAGTAATTATATTATTTTTATTGCACTCCTTTTATATATAGTGGATAATATTTTTAAATTTCTTATCACATTCCTTAAAAATACAGGACAACGCATTTTAAGCTGATTAAGGAAAAAATATAGGACAAATTATACTTTGAAAAATGCTTGGGAGCACTAATTAGTGCTCCCACTAATTAGGTGGTAGTGGGTCTCGCCATTAATGATGTGATGTTTTGGTCTTGGAGTTGTATTTTTTTTT